ATATGGATGCAATTATTTTATCTTAGACCAATCATACACATAATACATATTCACGAATGAATTATTCTGAGAGAAGTTATATATATATATATATATATATGCATTTTTATTCACATTATATATATTAATAGTCTATTCGACTAGTTTAGGTCAATCATGTGATTCTATCTACATCTAGGCCTTATCTAGCTCGATCATGTATCACATGATACGTGATGGTATTTTGATCATAAACCTAATTGTACATTTTTGAAGCTCAATTCAACATGAAATAAGATATTCATTAGGCTATGATTGATTTGATCTGTGTCTTTGTTTTGTATATATGTGTATATATTCCGATCATTATCTATTTTGATCTTATTTGAAAATCATAGTAACAATGATCTACATTGTTAATATGATTTTCTAAACAAATTAATCTTGTTTATTCATGTTTATTGTGAAGTTAACAACAAAACACAAATTATAATGAGAAAATTGTAAAGTTCTGTAAATAATACATATATGAAGATTTAAGTATTATAAACAATATTTTATCATTAGTCATGAATTAATTGAATCTAATTTTACTTTTTAATGAAAATGATGAATCATCTTGTGTTAGTTGAATATACCTTCTATTTGAAACAGAAACGATTGACAAATAGGAATATTTTTTAAAAAAAAGTGAGTTTCAGAAGGAGTTCTTGTGGATATTATAGTAATTTTAATAGTTGAGATCATGAGTCACTTGAAACTAGACCATCATGGAAAACCTGGAAGCACTGAATGACCGTTTCGTTCTCCTAAGCCCCGCGAGTGGTCTAGACATTAAGCGTTCGCGTGCGAAACCGATAGGTCCTAGGTTCGAATCTTGTGGGGTGGGATTGTAGATGCGCACTGTTGAAGAATCCCATACTAAGACGAAATGGCAATCCAGTGCTTCCAGGTTTTCCATGATGGTCTAGTTTCATGTGACTCATGATCTCAACTATAAATTTAATAAACATTTACTTTCCACATTGAAAGCGAGGAAAAAATCAATTAACTTTTAGTTATTAGATGATTAAATTAATATTTATAATCTAGTTGTAGAATTTCATACTAAGTGAGCTCATATTGTAGGAATTCATTATTACGTGTATAGTAGATCATTTTCAATAAAAGCTAATAATATTGATGTGAAGCTTTGATGAGATTGTATTCCGATACTTTGTATACACAATTGATTGGTTGTTTAAAAGAAAGAATATAATATTGATTTAGAGAGAACATTTTTATCCGTTCAATGATAGAAGTCAGTGAAGAGAAGATTAATTTTGTGGTAATTTGGGTATAATGTAAATAAATCACAACGTGTAAAGTGAATGACCGAATTGACGTTGTTACTGTTTGATCGCTGAATATCAACTTGTTTAGTTGATAAATGCAGATGCAGTCAACATCATCTGTTGACAAAGTTTACCATAGTACATGATTTACCGCTACATCACACTTATTGTCAGTGTTACAATGGGAATTATTAGTACAATGGACGGGTTACATTTATTTTCTTAATATTACATTTATTCAGTTAGAGTTGGGCAAATATTTTAAATAAAGAATTCTATGAACGTAGATACATTGGACGCATGACATATAACAAAATGTCTTTCTAAAATTAAGATAATGACGTGGATGAGTAGTATATTATGATCAGGAATCATTCAGCCCATTACGACACGTAAAAATAACCCTACGTTTACGTTTATTAATTGAAATGTGAAGTTTGAACCATAGAAGTTCGTACATGAAAACACATGTTCGCAGATATGAGTTAATCAAAGACGAGAATCGTAAAACATGTGCTCCATCTGTGTTGAATATAATTAAATCAATCATGAATGTTTCAAGTTTTCCTGTAACCCGCTATCATTTCACAGGTCTGTTCAGTTCCATCTGTAAATATTGATATTTGTTTCAACTGGAAGTTGGGGAATTAAAATATAGTCCAAACACTGAAATCTTCAAAACAGCGAAAATACATTTTTCAGTACTGAAATCTAACGTCTACATCCGCTAGTTAGCTCTGTAAAAACTAATTACATATCTAGTGTCGATAATTAAGATGAATCAAGTTCTTAGTATTTCTTAGGTATCATACTGGTTAGATCACGAATTGATCGTGCCTAAATCCTGGGATCGAATCCCGGATGAGGGGTTATGAATGTGCACTACTAAGGCGTCCTATACTAACACGAAACAGCCATATAGTGATTCAAGGTTTTCAATAGTAGTTCAGCAAAAATAAGTTCGTGATTTAAACTGCAAAAATTCTATGATCTCCAAAATATCCCTCTGTACCAATAATATCATACTGAATTTGATCTAACTCCGCCTGCAGCTTTCCTAGGGTTACTGCCGGTCCTAAGCCCACACAAAGGAGGAGGGATGGATATATGGTCAAAATCCCTATCCCATAGAAAACAACCTTGCTAACCAGAATAAAGAAATCGAACAACTTAAACTCTGTCCTCCGAGTTGAAGAAAAAATTACGACACCTCATGATGAAAGCCGAGATTATTCGGAAGTCACAAGACCAATACCCAACCAAAACAGCAATTAATATAGGTACATGGAATTTGATCTCAATAGTCAATTTCTGAGACTGAATATCTAATGATTCCATAAAATAATAATCATCTCGTAATATTTAACTTGTATTAGACATTATTTATATCTCTATGTTATTTGTGAGATCATAGTTTTTAACTGAATTTCTTGTCTGGATTGCATTCGAAATTATAGATGAGACAGCTCTCCTAGAAGTTAATACCCAATACATAGTTGTATTTTTTTACATTATTATCTTCAAAACATTGTATAATAAATTCAATTTGGTGTTCCCGTTTACAAGCAAACCATTATGGTTACATGTGTATAGACCTCTTATATAGTTGCACAAAAAGAAGGAAATAGGAACTGATACAGATTCATATGGAGGGACGTACAAGTAGGATTAATGCAGTTCATTATTTATTTCGTCAAAGATTGTGTCAGAAAGATATTTAGTGCTGTTAGACGTACGAGGGCGGTTATCACTTCTTGGTTGCCCACAATGTAGAAGGATATTTCTTCTTAAAAGACTTGGGGAAGGAAACTGGATTAGTAGTTATTGTACCGACCTGAGAGTATGACTACGAAGTAAAAGAGAGAACTACCTGAGGGCTGTCACATGCGTCCTTTCTGTGGATTTTGTGTTATTTAAACTTTGTACGTCAAAAGGCCTTACTGATGGAGATAGACATACATGCGTTAAGATACGGTGCTGCATTTTTAAGGTCGACCTTTTCTAACCTCTTCCTTCTGTTGTGTGCAGGTGGCATCCCTTCAGATGCTAGTTGTCTAAGGAAAACACCTTACTAACGTCATACCTCAGTACAGTCAGCCGTAAGTCTTCGTAATTTGATTATGAATTTGCTGCTTTTAGTTTTACTGTTCTACTGATCCGATTGGCATGGTATTATTCCAGTCAAAATAGATCTGGCGGGCCATTACGACAGACAAGCATATTGTCAACATACTTAAAATTAAGGATTACTTATTCAGCAATTTGTTTTCTACAAACTGCCTACATTTGTTCATGTAATATTTAAACTCATATCAATAATTTCAAAATGATATCAAATCTGTTAAAGTTAGTTGCCAGTTAGTCACAACGTCGAACCTGGTACGTATGTACATTGGTTCAAGTTGCTACACCTCATTAACACGGATATAAATTCGTCAGGCTAAATCTGGTAATAGTATATGTAATAATAGTACCAGTGGTAATCGGAAAAATATGCGACCATGGTACTACACTTCGATGATCTCACTCGTTCAATGTTAATTCTTAAGTTGTTTATTCTATTATCATTAATTGATTTCTTCAGTATTATGTATGGTATCGTCAGAAACAGGATCTAAATTAGTTTCTGTGCGATTGATGTAAATATACTGTGAGGTTAAGATTTGTCAATAAAGAATTTTCCATAAAACGATTTATAAGTATGAAAACGATGGAACAAGAATCCTATCTGTACTTAGATGAATGAGATTCTATTTCTTTTATAATGATATCGGCAACTGAAAATAATCTTTTTATGACTAACATATATATTTTTATCATATTCATTATACCTTTGGAGAAATACTTTTGATATTTTTGCAGACTCTAATTGTCATCTGAAAAGTGGCTTCACAATTATTAGGTAATTCTTAATAGTACTATCACTCAACTTTATGGTAGAATTGTCGTGAACGTGAACACAAGTGAGGACAACCAAATGTATTTGAATACAAAATTACATAATCTATTAGTAAAATCTGAAAACCATACAGTAAATACTTCATTTGAAAATTGTCAATCAATTGTCTCAGACTTGATTGCTCTTTCGTTTCCACACTACAGAATTAATTCCACAATTGTAATTATCAACTACTTGATAACCTACTCAATTACTATAGTTAGATTATAGTTTACCTATTCAGATGTTTCTATGAATAAAATGCCAATAGCTGAAATGAAACAAAATTAACTACATAATATCGATTGAGTTAACGAACATATAGTTAATTTGATCGATAAAGTTTGATTAGATCTAGATAACAGCAGACAATTAGTCATTAGTTGACCGGCAATGATTGATTAGTGTAATGTAGTATATATTTTCTATAAACTAGTCTGTAATTGATTAACAACAAAAAAAGAAACAACCAGTTTATAAACATAATTTTAATAATATTATTGGCAATAATAATTATAATAATGGTACATAATAAAATCTGTATTGTTTAACATAACTTAAAATAGAGTTAGAATAAGAAAAAAAACGATGAATAATTGAGAACAAAGAGAAGGGGAAGGGAGACTTAATTCACAGAGTATATTTAAGGGGAATAAGTGAGGAAATGGGGGATAGAAATAAATAAATCTGCGTTGTGTTAAACAATGTAGTTTTTTGTGTTTTTTTTTAATTATTTAATGATTGTTCCATTAAATCATTGAAAAAAAGTTATTATCCAATTTTTCAAATGCATTCTCATTATTCAACGAAGTGAACTTCTGAAAGAAAGTTGAAAAAGAAAACAGAAGAAAAATTAATGCATAATAATACTACTATTCATAGTCATTCATTTATTAGAGAAAGTAAAAATATAGCATCGCTCAACAAGATAGTTTTATGTATTTTGTTTTAATGGTATAATAGTCAGGTTATTTGGTTAAAGATTCAAGAGACATTAGACAAGTGTTTTGTTTTAGTTCAAGGATTCATCAACAACGTATGAACTACATGACCTCTTTCCCATATGATATATGAGAGGATCTTTGATTTTGTATCACGCATCATACCACCTATTAGGATCATCACTTCATATCATTATATTGAAAATGATCTCATCAATGAAAATTTATAAAAGGTTCAATAAGTATGGAAAAACTATAAGAGATGGAATATCTGATTATCCTAGTGAAAAAAAAACGAATGATTGATACTATTATGTTTAGGTTGTAAACAAATGATGGGAAACCAAGAAATAAAAGAGATTCACATCATTCTTCTACGTTGATTGTTCTTGTTTTAGTCAATAAGAAAAACTGTATAAAAGTTTAACAACATAATAATTTCTAAGTGATATAACAATAGATTGATCTCAGCTAGGCTAATACCATTGAAAACAATGGAACATTCGACAGCTATTTCACCCTAATATAGGACTTCTTAATAGCGCACACTTATGACTCACCACAAGGAACGAACTCAAGACCATCAGGTCTCAAAACAAACTCTTAAATATTGTTAGATAAATAGGCTAATGATATATATATATAAACTAAGTAAATAGATATACATATATTTTCTTGATTTAAATAACTATTAACTTGGATGAAATATAAACTTATAGCAGACAAAGAAACTACTTTTATTGAAAATACTATGAATGGTTGAATAAATACGAATAAAGGCAAGTTGTATAGAGAATAACTTGTAACCTTGACCGTGACGAAAATAAGACTAACCTACAACCTATATATATACATATATATATATGCCGTGATGATTCATCTTAGTTACTTGTATAAAAATTCAATTAATAAACGAACAAAAATTTCAGCATAGCAACTAATATATTATTATTTAGATTGGTAAAAATAAGAGAATGTTTACTAATAACATGTTTACAAGTTAACAAGCATATAACTAGCGGATATTGATATCGATGTTACTGGTATATATTTATACTGAGTAAATGTGTATAGTTTCCATTACCAATAGTATTATTATCATGTTTATTACTATTAATTAACAACAGTTGTTTAATTGATCATTCATTCTCTACAACTCAGAAAATAAGTTTTTAAATGACATAGATGTGATCTGTAGGAAGAATTGTAGTTACAGGATAGTTTTCATCATGAACTAATCGACATCAGCTGGATATTTTGTTCTGTTCAAGTTTGGAACATCTTTTCATTATTTTACAAATCTATGATGTTATTATATATGATTTTTAATCATCATATTTTCATGTCTAAACGAATAAGATGCCTACTAACTTTGTTAATGAGTATTGTTGACTATGCACCGTGAAGTTAACCATAGTATATATATATATATATATATATATATATATATATATATATATATATATAGATACAACGATTTCCGAACACTGAATAAGTCAGTTGATAAGAATATAAGTTTATATATATATATATATATATATATATATATATATATATATATATATATATATAAACTTATATTCTTATCAACTGACTTATTCAGTGTTCGGAAATCGTTGTATCTAACGTGAATACTAATTAACTGATGTTTCAACTCTGTGTGAGGATAAAGTTCCAATAATACCTGGAAACTAGATATTTACTATGCCTACAATGACTTATTGTTCACCATTAAATCAGAAATCAGTACATATAACTTTTAAAGCTTCAGATTTCTGATATTTTCGTCCAAGGCATTTAGACGAACTTTCTCGACAGTTCCGATTTAATTAAACAATTCAGATGCAAATGAACATGTTTATGATAGATCAGACTAGTATTGATGATGGTAGGTATCCAATAGGGACGCCACTCGTAATTGGCACCTTATATGAGGATTCCCTAAACAATCTCACCTGAAATCCGACTAATTGCTCGTAAGTTCATTGTTTTTAAACTCAAAGTTAGACTGTTTTTTTTTTATAAACAGGAAACAATCAACAAAGCTAATTCTATTCTGTTTGTATCCTTCATTTATATACTGTAGACAGTATCTGAGTCTAACTTGTAAGCCTTAAACAACATACTGAAGACACATACGAAATTAGACCGTTAAGTTTCAATGTGTCGTTTCATTTTTTTATTTTTTCCGTTTCTGAAATGTTTGCCTTAAAAATAAGTATATGTATTTCCATTTTATTATTATTGCTACTATATTTCTCAAGTATTCTCAATCAATATAAAGGGTTATTTGAAGAAAAATATGCTCTCTTAGTGTTATGTGTATTGAACACATCCTGTTCTGTTTTTATCCCACATGTCAGTTAAGAACACGTGCAAGCAAATAATATAATATAAACCATAGTTGAATACAAAGGGATATTGTGTGTGTGTGTGTTTGTGCAGAGAAGTTCTATACTTTTAAGAAATCATTTGTCTGTAATCTATGCGAATATGTTTTGATACACAGAAACACATATATGCACAATACAAATAATAAGAGGGAGAATAAACAGTCAATTTAATTAGGAAAACATAAAAACCAGATGGATAAATATGTGAAAAAGAAAATTACCACCATATGGAATGAACATATACAAGAGAAATGAGGAAGGTTAATTCCTATTAAACATAGTCCTTTAATTAATAAGGACTGAAATATACAAAAACAGGCACGATCCTCTATTTCTGCCAATCAACTATTTCAAATTGGCAGGGGGGCAAGTTTAATCACGAATATATACACAAAGGAAATCTAACTATGCATCTGTCTTTATTGTTAAGATGAATGAGTCATAAAAAATATGTTTCTTCTAATAGCTAGTGGTATGGAGGGTATTTGGGGGCAAAATAAAGAAATAACGGATGAAGTGTTTCCAGGATATGACCTTGATGATAATCTAACTTGTAAAGCAAGCAAAAAATCTCCTGAATGTATCATAACAAAATGGAAGTATCCATTTTACAAACATTCAAGCTGACTTCAAGTATATAACTAATTCTATGAAAATTTATTTCTTCACAATAATCATGTATTTTTTGTGAGAAATAGTGACTAGTGCATTTCAATTGCATCACGCTGGATGATTATTGTTAGACTGTATCATAAAATAGGCCGAATTTAGAAATACGGGCTGTTTAATTTTAAATCGTACTGGCGTATAAAGTAATTGAGTTTACAATGAAATGAGGAAGTTCTGCATTGTTGTTCCATACTCTATATAAACGTTAATATGTATTAGCAAAGTTATCTATCCTGTTGTTTACAAATGGCATCAGAATGCGGAGACCTATCAGAGGATGATTAGAATGCACTAAGTGGCTGAACCATAGGAAGGTGTAATGTAACCACTACCAAGGGCTTTTGGATTTCCTCGGTAGTTTGTTTGTAAGATTCCGGATCTTGGATAAAGGTGCATTCAGAATATTACACACGATGTATGTGAGACTGAATTTGGAATATAAGACTCAAGAAGCAAGTGGATATGTTTGATCGAGTTCATAGGTTAGGGGCTACAACAGAGAGGTCTTTTGACCTATAAAACGAAAATGGACACCTTAGCCTATTTCCATAGTCTAAGAAGTGGTCTAATTTAGGGTTTAATGTATGGTTAAAGATAACTGTGATATTAATTTGTCCTATCTACTTCTTCCATCTCAGACTGATAATCAAAGAGAATTTTTGAAATTTCAAGAACCAAGATTAAATCATTCAAGTTTTCAGTTTTGCTTATTGTGTTGGATATGCATTACTGGAACTACAACTCAATAAATGATGCCAACATTTTCTGTCAGAATTTCCTGAACGACATCGGATAATCACCATTGGTTTCTTGACCATCGATTCTTACCACTGAAGAATATAAACTGAATTCAGTGCCAGGTAGTAGGTACATAGAACATCAAACTAAAATGAAATAAGTGTCAAGTACTGGTTGGGTTTTTCAGCCCTTTTAAAAAAATAAACAGTTTGGAGTTCAAAAATGACCTGTCAAGTGTACAATTTCATCATGAAACTAACAATTAATAATAGGTTTATACTTGAACATGTACTTAACATTTAAAGGAAAGAGTAAAATAAAATAAAATTTACCTTTATTGTTTTTGTTTCTTTCTGAAAACCATGAATTACTTCATAGATTGTCGTCGTCGCTTAACAGCAAAATAATCTGTAAAATAAGCGTGGAAAAAAGAAAATATTATTCCTATATCATTATCAAGTCATTAAAGAAGAAACTATTCGATCATTATCAAATGTTTAAAACAATATCGGGTTCCTTAGCAGTGCTCATCTGCATCCGCACTAATCTGATATTATGAAAAAATAATTGTCCGCTGCTCATCGATTTTCAGTAGCATCTGAGCTGAGATCGACCTGTGATGAATATGACCAACAAGCTGAATTAAAATGTTAACTACAATGTGTGTAATGTCATTCGGTATTTTCTTCTTTCTTATTTGTATCCTATTTAACTATAGTCGTACAAAATCTAAGCTTTATTTATCTTCTTAAATTAAACTGTTTGTTAAATTGACTACTATTAATAACATAATGTCAGAAGGTTAAATCTTAAATTTTATACGATTCATTTTGAACATAACTGTTGGAAAATTGTTAATATTCAATCCATATGAAAAATAAACAAAGAGTACATTATTGAAGCGTTCAGTTTCGTTGTTTAGATGTTATATAAGATAAGACTATAGATATAAGTAAACCAAAAAAAGTAGTCTATACAATTCAATATTTTGAGAAGGGGTTTTTGTGGAGATTTTAGAAATTTCACTAGTTGAAATCACGAGTCAATTGAAGCTAGACCATCATGGGAAACCTGGAAGCATTGGACGGCCGTTTCGTCCTAGTATGTTGAAGTTAGACATTAACACTGTTGGATGCCAACTCAGTGGTCTAATGGTTAAGCGCTCGTGCACGAGACTGATAGGTCCTCGGTTCGAGTCTCGCGGGGGGCGGGATCGTGGATGAGCCCTGCTGAGAAGTTCCAGACTAAGACGAAACGGTCATCCAGTGCTTTCAATTTTTCCATGATGGTCTAGCTTCAATTGACTCATGATTTCAACTAATGAAATTTAATATTTGTCCAGAGTTCAAGGTATACATAATGAAAATAATACAGTATTTTCTGTCTGATTGTGAATTTTTACTACTAGACTATTTCAAGCTTTTTTTCTAAAACTAAAACATATTTCAATCAGGTGGTCAATTACAACATAGAACCTGGTACGTATGTTGATTGATTTAAATTTCCATAATCCCATTAACACATATATATGAAATTGTCAGACTGAATCCTATAATACTAGAAATAGTAACAGTATAAGGGGGTAAGGGACAAGATTAAGTAACAAAGATATGATTCCACACCAAATGAATACACGAAAAGAAGTTATGAGATATTTAGAATCTCAGAATTTGAAGAAAAACAAAGACTGAATACACCTGAGCCATGTCATTTAGATTCTCTAACTATATTTACACTAAACTGTTATGATTTCCTGTAATTGTATGAATTTATTTCTATTCTCTTAGTTCTATTGTTTCTTACGTTTTGTTTAAAATTATCAAATGATCCCGTGATTTGATCTTTTTTTTGAAGTTTAAGTAAATAATAAATAGATCGCATTATTAAATTTACAAAGACAGATTGAATTAAAGGTCTTCAGTTTTTCTGGTAATCTAAACTATTACATATTGGACTATTATTAAATAATATGAATCAATTAAATTTTACCAATATCAGTTAAAAGAACTTGGTAAAACAAGGCGAATTCATTTAATAATTTTTAACTGATAACATCATTTTGTGAATAGTCAATACCGATCTATCTGTTTTGTTTACATGTCATTTTAAACTCAACTAATGTAAATTTCAGATGGGTTTTGTGGATATTATAGTAATTTCAATGGTTAATATCACGAGTCAGTTGAAGCTAGACCATCATGGAAAACCTGGAAGCACTTAACGGTCATTTCATCCTATTGTGGGACTCTTCAGCAATGTTTTTTTTTGTTATTCTGAAAATATCAATAAACTATTATTATAAGTGCTAAGAATTGTGGTAGGTTTCGAATGTCGCTTACATTATTCTATTTGACTAATGTACTTTGAATAAGTAGCATTTTATGGTATTCACAGTCATTATATCATAATATACATTGATATTATTAATCTTCTTGTTAAGTAACTACAAAATTATCCTTATTAAATCTTATGCAATTACCATTCTAGTAAATAATTCATAACAATTATAACGTCTACTTTGAATAAAATTATTAAATATAATTTAAAAATAATTGTGAGTAAGGGGTTGTAAAAACTGTTGGATTTCATTGAGATCATGAATCAATCTAAGTTAAACCATCATTGAAAACTTGAAAGCACTGAACGGCCGTCCCATATTAATGTGGATTTCGTGTGCGAGACAGACATTTCTGGATTTAATTTCTGCATGCGGATTCGTGGATGAACACTGTGGAGGAGTTTCGTACTAGGATAAAATCCTCATCCAGTACGATCAAATTTTCAATATTGCTCATGATTTCAATAAGAACAATGATTTTAAGTGATACAATCATAATCAAAATTAATTGGATAATTGTATTTTTTAAGAAAAATTAAATACCAATCATTAGCGAAATCGAGTGAATTCTACAATTAATTTAGATATTTAGTTCAGAATTGTGAATTTTTATGTTCATCATTAATAGAGATAAAAATTGGATAACAATAGAAATAAGTTCATCATTAGGAAGAATTAAGTAGTGAAAATTTTTTATCCAATCCCAACTATCTAATACAAGTTTATATCACAATTGATTGATCACTGGGTGGTGATCAATGTCATGCGTGTCAAGGCCCAGGGTCCAGGGTTTCGTGTCGACTACCTCCAACCACCGTCTAATCACAAGTTTATATACAAGTCTATGAATCATAGTAAATGTATCATTCGTAGCAAATGATGGTACAACAGTGAATCAATTTCAGTTTTAATGTGTAATCAAATTAAGTTTGTGAAAACAAGTGCATAAACCAGTGAGTATTACTGTCATACTTAGAACTTGGACATCATGCATTGTTTTTAATTAGCAATTATTCACACTGTCGACCATCTTTATTCAATACAGAGTTAGTTTTCATTTATTATCAAACTCTACTGAAACAACTGTTCAACACTCTTGAATTTCAAGGTTTTTCTAGTTGGTGTTTGAGATATTTTCACAGTAAGTTTCCACATAGTGGATTGAATTAAAGACATATGAATAATACAGAACTATAAATTAGTTTTAATGATCTTATAATTCCGTGTTCATAAACTAAAATTTTTTACAACAATTTACTAAATATACAGGAACACTGGTGTTGATATCAGCTATTTTTTAAAAATAAATTTTACTAGTTAGCCAATTAGAAAAAGAAAGGTAGGAGGAAAGTGACTAGACCAACAAAGCACATTGATTTCCGATATTATTTTAAGGTGATTAACCGAAAAAAATTAGATAAGTATAATACAATTCTAGAAGAATTATTGAATTACCTGTTACTTTAGGCCCAGATTTCTTTAAACTTAATCGATCAGGTTTTATCAGTTTAACTGAATGTTGAGAACAGGGATTCGAACTTGATGGTAACATTGTATTGTTACTACTATTATCTGAACGGATAATAATTGGATTCACAGGTAATGTTGTCGTTGTTATTTCTGATAACTTTTCAGTAACTTGTGATATGTTGCCGAATTTGTATGGTGTTGATGATGATGTTGGCGATGGTTGATTCAGAGTTATTGAGATAGTTGACTTTGTCGTTGAAGGAAAGTTCATTTCAGATTTTTGATTATCATTTAGTAAAGTATCAGTATTAGATAGGTTATATGATGAATTAAACGAATAAGTGAAATTTCTGAGTTCACTATTTGTAGACTTTTTATAGAGTTCCATGCGTGTTTTTTGCGCTACTGACACTGGAAGACGTCGAAATGCTTTTAATTTACGCGGAGATTTTATATAGAAACTTGGAGGTGATTGGACAGGTTCTAAAATGAATTCATTTGTAGAATTTGTCCGTAAATTTCCACTATGTAATTGATGTACAGAAAGTGGTTTCCGAATTTTGTTCTCTAATACAGTATTGGGTGGTTGAAAGTTCCATTTATTTTGGAAACGGTCTAAATCTTTACGTATAATTGTCTCCAAAGTTTGCTGAATACGTATACATGATACAGGTTCACCAAACAACCTTCGACATAATTGAACCGGTGCAGTAATACTAGCAGTAGCTGACATTCCCAAAGAGAAAAGGTAACAACTGATCGTTACAAGCCAGGTTAAGGAATATATTATGAAATACAGATAGATGATTGGTCAATAACTACTGTAAAATGATTGGCTAAGGGGACATTTTAGGTATATACTACTGTAATTAATTAAGTAGCTAAAAAACAAATCAGAAAAACATGGATATTTACAGGAACGCTTAGGCAGATTCACACTGTAATCATGGATTTATACTTAAGAAATCTGAAAATTTCTTATAATGTAAAGAGTATATTGACGATGCGTTTGATTTTAAATGAGTACTGGAGAAATTTCGACTCGTGTGAACAACCTTTTGAGAATCAGAAGGATCATTTTTATACACAATATTTATGTGTATTTAGGTAGAATTTTAGACCTTAGGAAATTATGGATAGTTTAGCTTCTAGCATACCAAATTCTTAAATATGTATTTTGCCATGAAACGAATTATTGACGCTTCTGTTGCGTTTAGTTTTCCAGTTTGTCATTTTTGGAACCAGATTTTCTAACTATGTAGATCATTTTGACGGTTACTTCTGGTACGGCTATGCGATCAACACAATGTGCATCTAACACTACCTGTTCTTGTGAACTAAGTTATATAGGCATAATTTTTCCCAAAGCACTTCCGAACACTAAAATTTTGTAGAATATGAAACAATCAATAGTTTTATTTTTATACACGTAGTCAACTCTAATCAATTGTTTGATGAATATCTATAAATTTGTATCCGTACAGCTCTATATGCCAAAGTAACAACTTATCTCACACATGAAGTGTAGAGACATAATTATAAATATTTGCTTCTTCGTATCAATGAAGTTGATGTATAGTGATGCATTTCATTCAGTTGATTGTTCCAAAATGATTCGTAGTGTTGCGATTTGATCTGTACACGATAGATCCCTACGGAATCCAGCCTGTTGGTCTCGAAGTTGGGCATCTACGGAGTCTTTCAATCTGTTTAACAATACCCTGTTGAAGACTTTTCCCGGCGTTGAGAGAAGAGTGATGCCCCTGTAGTTATCACAATTGCTGAGATCTCCTTTCTTCGGTATTTTGATCAGAAGTCCTTCTTTCCCGTCTGTTGGTACTTGTTCTTCATCCCAAATCTTGCTGAAGAGAATGTGGAGTATCTTTGCAATTACTGCTACACCTGCTTTCAGTGCCTCTGCTGAAATGTTGTCTGGTCCTGCTGCTTTGCCACTCTTGATTCGTCTGATGGCTATGCTGATCTCTTCAACTGTTGGTAGGCCAACATCGATTGGGAGGTTCGTGGGTGCTGCTTCGATGTTGGGTGGGTTCAATGGGGTTGGCCGATTCAAGAGTTTCTTTAAGTGCTCTACCCACATGTTTCGCTGTTCTTCAATGTTGATGATTACTTTGCCTTCCTTGCTTTTCAGTAGTCGTTCTGGTTTACGATAATTTCCACCGAGTTTCTTTGTTGTGTCATGCAATTGTCTTATGTTTCCTTCTCTTACAGCCTTTTCCACCGTCATTGCTAGATCTTCCCCTTCCATTTGTTCTCCATAGTAGTTCCTCCTCCATTGAGTAGATAATGAAAGACCTGGAACTCATTGCTGAAGTCTATTTTGAATTTGTTGAGTTTGTCAGTATCCCGGAGAAAAGCCGTATTAAACTCTTGTGATGTCCACCCCGTTGTCCAGTGCTTCTTGAGTTTTAATTTCATATTGGCGACCAGCAAGTGATGATCAGATACTATATCAACCTCCCTCTTGGTTCTTACATCCTCCATCATCCTCCTGAACTTTTTGTTGGTGCAGATATGATCAATTTGGTTCTATGTAGTGTGATCCGGTGAAGTCCATGTGGCTTTGTGTATGTGTTTATGTGGAAATATAGTGCCGCCTATGACCAGTTTATTGAAGGCAGATAGGTTTGCGAATCTCACACCATTCTCGTTTCTTTCTCCCAGTCCGTGTCCTCTCATGATGTCTTCATATCCGGTGTTGTCCATTCAAACCTCCCATCAGAATGGTCAGGTCTTTGGTTAGGCATTTCTCAGCGATTGACTGCAGCTTATCGTAGAATTGATCTTTAACGTCTTCATTGTAGTCGTTGGTAGGCGCGCAGCATTGGATGACGTCCGTTCTAATGCCCTTTTTCTTTGTTTTGAAGGAGGCTTTGATGATCCTGGGCCTATGAGATTACTATCTTATGAGTGATTTTTCTGTTTGTTTGGAAAGCATCAGTGCAAATTCTTGTGTATGTGGAGCATTTTCTTCTTCATGGTCGAAGTATAGCAGCAGCTCGGCTGGAGCTAGTCTTTTTTGTCCAACGTGCGTCCAATGTGTTTCACTGATTCCAAGCACCTTCAGGTTGTATCTTTTCATTTCTACAGTAATTTGGATGACTCTCCCGGTCTCCCTCATTGTTCGAGCATCAGCCTCGTGACTTCCGAAGGGACTTGGCTTTCACCATGAGGCGTCTTAACTCTTCTAAATGAAGACCTCCTAACTCCCAGGGCAGAGTTTAAATTATTTTTTCTGGTTAGCGTTTTTTTAGCGAATTGGTTTTCTACGGGATGGAGTCACTAACCCCATGCACATCCCTCCTCTTTTATCCGAGCTTGGGACCGACAGTAGCCCCAGAGGGGATCCAGGCGGAGTTTGTTACAAAAGACAGAAGAATGAAAAAGTGATATGGTAATATTCTTAAGAGCCAAATGAGATTTTTGTTTAGAAACCAATATGTCTGAACAATCTGATTGTATGTGGGCCACAAAGTCGAAATCAGTATATTTCTCGTAAGCTAGGAAATTTAGATCATTTCTGGGCAGTTCTCCATTCACAAAATTGTTATTTTTTATTGAAAATCAGGGCACATGATTTAATTTCATAGATACTCAAGAGCTGGCATTTATTAAACAATATATGAAACGTGAAGACTATAGATATGTGATAAGTGAAAATGTTAAAGTCATTTTTTAATAAATGACAGGAGACAGTTAGACTTTTATTGTTGGCATAAATTAAGAGATTGTATGTTGTTTGGAGTTCTTCACCTAAGATACATTAATAGAAATATTCTGTTACGGAGACACTTGTTTATTTATCGAAATCTGTTTCATTGGCCATCTGCAGTGAAAATTTAACAACCACATCGGAATATCACAGAGATAGTAATAGAGGGGCGTAGATCATACGAATTTCAGAACATTTGACAACCAGAGGTTTTCTTCAAAACACGAAACAATTAAAGACTTTTAATAGTCGTCACTAATACTATCTGGCCGGTACTTTTGTTTGTGGCACGAAATCAGAGTAATAAAATGCAATTATCTCTATGATACAACCTTAACACCAGTTAAAAGAAATCCATTTGGTATTGTTTGCTTGAATTTCCCCATTGATGGTTAGGACTTCAACTGACCAGTTTTTTATTGGCATATGTGCATCCTGTGAGGATTGTCTCGATATTGCTTTAAGTCATAAGCATTATAAGCAAAGATAGATGATGGCTAGCAGTGGAATCCAGGACACGCGTTTCGTCCTATTTAGGACTCGTCAGCTGGATGTACCTCCATCTCAGAGTTGATGTTCACTTGGAGACTCGAACCCAGAACAGTTCGCTTCAAATAGTGCTAGCCACCATCCATATTTGCTTATAATGCTTTTGACTACAAACCAAGGAGCCCTAGACAGTTACTTCCTAAACATTCGAGATTTCTCAACAATACTTATTTACAAATGTTATAACGCTTATAGTGACCCCTAAAGATTTTTTATTCCTATATCTTATACGCAGTCATAAACCCTGAATTAGGACAAAACAGTTGTCTAATTTTTACTGGCTCAGCTTCAGATCTCAAATTATGATAAAACTCAAAATATTAATAATTGGTAATCATATGTATTTTGAAAACTAAATTATAGAATATGTATGCATTAACGGTTACATCCAATGGTGGAACTGAAACAGTATGTATACAGTAAGAAATATATTTGAAGGTAATTTCTATGTTAGCAACTTTACAACAGACCCATCAAAACTTGGTGTTTCGGAACTTGAAATTATATCGAAATTATTACTCACTGCAATGAATTATCGACATGATAAAGAACATAATAAGCAGTCGGTAACATAGATCACTGTACATAATTTGAAAATGGATTTGATCACATAAAATAGTTGATATGTGAGCGAGAATGATTAGGATTGGTTGTCTGCTTAGTCATACATGTAGACAGTCTGACAGGTGTCATATAAGTTATATATTCCCCTTTCCTTATAATTATTATCATTGATTGTTCATTGTTGTTGGATTGTGCCGGGTTTTGGTGTGGAAGTATGTTTACGTTCTAGTGAGGCTAATCACGTGTTCTTGATCTGAGTTGTGTTGACGTCCTGTAGAATAGACACTGGAAGGGGATCTAGTGTAGATATTCGTCTGAGGTAAATTAAAGTCCCATACGTGTAAAAACAACCGTTATAACAATAGTATCCATTAAAAATTGTGGTAAATAATTATTTCAGTTATGGTTATGCCATAATACAGTGTAGTGCTGCTAACCTTGAATTGAAACTTATTCATTTCTTATTGTCATATCTGGTTAAACTGTTAGTGTTTGATTGCCTTATAAATAATTCGTATAACTCCAGGATCTGAACTCAGTACCGTTTACTTCAAGCTCGAACCCACTGCTATCCACCACCCATTTTTGTTTATAGTGTTTGTGACCAAAGGCAGTATCGAGACAATCCACACAGAATGCACATATGTCAATAAGAGACTGATCAATTGCAGTCCTAAACTTCAATGGAAAGATACAAACAGAAAATACCAAATGAATTTAGGATTCACCCTACTGCACAAGCTAGTGGCTATCAGGACTCGGTTGCTAAGGGGATAGTGCGATGGAGTTCGAAGTAAGCGTTACTGGGTTCGAGTCTCGAATACATGTACACTAGCTGGTAAGTCATAATTCCCATAGATATAAGTCAATTTGTATCATTTCTATTAAAA